AATAGGCAAGCCCGTGTATGGACAGAGGCGAAAAAAGGAGAAGTGATATCACGCATTGCAAGTGTGAATCCAAGTGAGAAGGAAATATATTTTCTTTGTTTATTACTGAATCATGTAAAGGGAACAAAGTCTTTTGAGGACCTCATGAATTTTGTTAAGAGTCAATTTTGAACATTTAAAGAAGCAGCCTAAAAAGAGGGCTTCTTAAGTCCGATCAAAGTATCATTGAACGCTTAGATGAAACAGCTGCTTTTGAGATGCCTCAAGCATTTAGAAGACTATTTGCTACACTGTTGACTTATTATGAACATAATAATGTTAGAAATTTATGAGATCTTTACTTTGAACATATGTTTGAAGATTTCAGAAAACGAGATCAAGATACATCACAATTACAGCTTCAGCATATACTTCAAGATATTCAATCATTCCTTTAGTCCATGAGAAAAACATCAATGCATATGACTTACCTCAACTAAGACATGTCTCACAAGTATATACTCTCTCAGTACAAAGGGCACATTAGATGAAAGATCAATTGCAATACCAATTGAAGACACACAAGCATCATATTATCTAAATCATGATCAAAGACAGGCATATAATATCATACTTGATAAAGTAAAAAATAAAAAAGGTGGGGTTTTCTTTTCTAATGGACCTAGAGGAACTGGAAAAACATTTCTAGATCATGCATTACTTGCTGAAATAAGATTATGCGGTATGATAGCACTTGCAACTACAACTTCTAGAGTTGTTGCTTCAATAACACCTGAAGGCCGAACAGCTCATTCAAGATTCAACATTCCATTGCAAACAAATGAACCATCAATATGTCACATATCAAAGCAAAGTAGTCGAGTCGAACTTATTTGACAAACGACGCTCATTATACGGGAGAAAGCTCCAATGGCAAAGAAAGCAACAATTGAGGCTATTGACAGAACTTTTCACGACATCATGAACAATTTTGAACTGTTTGGGACAAAAGTAATGGTATTTGGGGAAGATTTTCGCTAGGTTCTTTTAGTTGTCCCGCAAGCAACAAGACAACAAATAGTTAATGAAAGTTTTGGTACGATCATATCTCTGGAAAAAAATGCAGAAACTACAATTGAGGAAGAATTGGAGAGCCCAAAATGATCATCAATTCACGGAATACTTGATCAACATTAGCAATGGACTAGAACCAACTAGAGGAGAAAACTTCATCTCACTTCTAAAAGACATAGTATTTTCCTCCAACAACAACTCTCTAGAGCTCAATTTAATCAACTCTGTCTTATTAGAACTAGCAAATAATGCAGAATCATCATAATATATAACACAAAGAGCAATTATTTCCACAACAAATGAAAACGTTGATCTGATAAATGAAAGTATAATCGATCTTTTCCTAGGTTATGATGTAGCAATAAATGACATAAAAAATTACTATCAACTAGAGTTTCTTAACACATTACTTCCAAATGGAGTTCCACCTCAACGATTATTGTTGAAAATAAATTGTCCGATAATGCTCTTGAGGAATCTAGATCCTTGAAGTTGCCTCTGCAATGGGAGTAGAATGGATTGTCGTCAATTCAATAGAAATATTATCTGTGCAGAGATAACTACTGGACAACACGCTGGCAACACGTATTCATTCTATGTATACCATTGAGTCCTGCAAATGATGAAGGATATACATTAAAATTCATATGAAAACCGTTTCACGTTCATCTTTGTTTTGTAATGACTATCAACAAGGCCCCAAGAATAGCCAATACCTCATGTCGGAATATATCTTCCACAACATGTATTCTAACACGGACAATTATATGTTGCATTTTCAAGAGGAATTTCTATGGCAAGTACAAAGGTTTTAGTTAAGTCAGATAATCCTAATCACACAAAAGATATAGTATACAAAGAGATTCTCATTGAATAAAAAGTTCATTTCACATAAAGAATTTTTTAAAACTATTTTTCAAATGCATCTTCCATTTCATATTGATTAACTCAATAGGTAATGAAATTCGCTATGCTTTTAGAAAATGTAGAATGACTGCTTACTTCGAATTCATCAACAATTTTGGGATTTGAATCTTCAAATTGTGTTTTCCTAATGACATTATAAAATACAAATAAGATTGTATGGAGTTTTTACTATCAATTAATATAGATGTATCACCATAATGGAAGGTTAATAAAAATGAGTGAATGGTTAGTGTTGGGTTTTTTAATACCCAATAAATTTTGGGTAATGATGTTAAACCGATGTTGGGTAAATTAATATCGACACCTAAGATTGATGACCCAACCCGAAAACTAGTTAGGGTCATTTGAAGCGACCTAATTTTAGTTAGAGACGCTTATGGCCCGTCCTACTCCTTTTGAAGGCTTACGAGAATTGACCTACTACTCGGTATACTTGGCCCATGTATTGGATTGGGTTTGGCTACTTTCATATCTAATGTTACCTATATATTATTACATTGGTCTTGATATTTACGTGTGTTTTTGCCATTGTATCTTGAAGAAAACGGCTTCCATTTTTCCCTACTGTGTGCCCACTGCTGCCTTCTCTTCTTGGCCTTTGCGGCTACAAAACACCTTCCCCTTTTTGTATCCTAAGTGGGTAGAATCAAAAGGAACTGGAGTGTGGAATAGTTAAAGGTTTTGGGTGGAGTCTGTTTGGGTGATTGATTTCCAACTCTAAACCATATGACTCGCGGAAATACATCTTGGTGGTCATCTTTTCGCGAGAATTAGTGTCAAAGCCACATTGGTGGTGGAATTTCTAGCTAAAATCTGACCAGAATTGAAGCAGAAGTCGACAGGAACGAAACTGTCCAAAACTTCCTAAAAACCAAACCTGCAATCGACAATTTCGGTGAAACCAGAAGTCCATTGGTGAAATGGAGGCCAGAACCATGATCTACAGGTGGAGGCGCTCCTGGGTTGATCGCTCATGGTGGCAGCGGCGACGGTAGATGGTAGTTAAGGCAGCGGCACGTGGAGGTGCATCTGGCGTTGTTTGGGGAGAATTTCTCCAGGCATAATTTTTCTAACGTGATTTCTAATGATTTGGTGTTGTTAGTGTTTTGTTTCAGATTATACGATGAAAACTGGACGATTTTTCCCATGTGCATTTGTGATTCAGTTCGGTGTTCGACTGGTTGCTAAAGTTACTGGAGACTTTGGGGCGAATAAATCCGCACCTCTTGTTATTTACGAACTCAGATTGGTCCGCTCTGGTAAATTGTCTTATCCAAATTTCAACATTAGCGAGTCATCGTGTAGTGTGGCATTAGGATTGAGGTTACCTTGTGGGATAACATTGTTTGTGCTAGAAATTTAGGAATTATTTGTTCTGTTTGAAGTGTTGATTTTGACAAGTTGGTAATTGCTTTTGTCCTTTAACTGTTATTTAGTCACTGTGTAAGATTGCATTGCATGAAAAATTTTGATTTTTTTTGCTTACCTCCATGTTGCGTTGATTATTCTGTTAGAACACATAGATTTGACCCGTTTGAACATTCTCTTGATCTAAGATCTTAAATTTCACAAAACTCTGGGAATATAGAACGGTGTATATTGCGACCTTAGGATTATTTTTTGTGATCTATTTGTGCATTTTTGTTGTTCTGTTTTTTAAAATGTCTTCACATTTCGAAATTGAAATTTTTAATGGGAAATGGAATTTTTCAATTTGGTAATAAAAGATGAATGAGATTTTAGTTTAACAAAAAGTTTCAAAAGTCATAGATGGCAAATTTCTTGCAAATTTAACATAAGAACAAAAGGAAGAATATGATGAACTTGCTTACATTTCAATTATTTTACACATCCGATACTGTTTTAAGAAAAGTTGGAAAATTTGATTCTACAAAAGAACTTTGGCAAAAGTTGGAGGACTTATATTTGCTTAAATCTACTTCTAATAAATTGTACTTGCTTGAAAGATTTTTCAGTTTTAGAATGGATCATTCAAAAAATCTTGATGACAATCTAGATATTTTCAACAAACTTGTTCAAAATATCGTTAATTGTGATGAAAAAGTGTCTGAAACGTATAAAGCGATTGTTTTGTTGAATTCTATGCCTGATTCATATAGAGGTTAGAATACAATTAAATATGGTAGGGACACTTTAGCAACCGAGATTGTCATAGATTTACTTAGGAGTAAGGAGATAGAGATCAAAGCTGAAAATGAGAATAACATGAGTGGTGAGTTGCATATGATGAAGAGTAGAATAAAGTTTAAACAGAGGAATTCGGACATAGCTCAAGACATTAATGGTGATTCGAGTAGTGACTCGAGTAATAAGGGTGGTAAAAAGAAGGGCAAGAGACAAGTCTAGTGGTAGACAATGTTATAGTTGTGGTAAGGTTTGGACACTTTATTAGGGACTGTTTCAAAAAAAAATGATAAGCAAAAGAGTAAGTTGAAAGACGGGCGAATGTGATTATAGGGTCGAGTGATGACCTAGTGAGATTTATTTAAACATAACATGTACATCCGTGTGTAATCTTCTCTGCATGTGTTTGATTACTTAATTCCGTTGCATGATTATATTTGCTTTTTAATGTGTTTCATATGTACATTTGCATGAATTTTGAGAGTACGTACCCTCCTTATTTTGTATAATTGTTTGAATGGTTAGGAAGAACAAGCTACCTAAATGATTAGTAATGGAGATTCTGTAAATATTACATTTATAACAATCATATCATACGACTAGTGAGTAGAAAGGAAACACTAACAAGTAGGAAAAAAAAAAAAGAAAGGAGAGATTCAAAAGGGCAAAAACATCCAGACATTTCAACACTCAAAACTCGTGACTATAAAACACGAGTGATCCACTAGCACAATTTGCATAAACCAGAAGTTGACAACATAATATTCAAGTGTCGAATTCAAGTAATTCACTTACATAACCAGAAAATAACTACAAATGAAAGTAAAACACTGTTAAACGTTGTTTCTCGTTAACTCAAAAGTACACAGAAGTATTCACACCCTAGTCCCAGTGACACCACCACCTTTGGGTACATGCTCTGCTCCAGGCGCTCCGACGCCATAGTCGGGATCCCTGTACCCTGGTCCATACCGGCTGCTGAAAAACCCAGCGTGAAGCAACAGGACATAGAGAAGTTGAGTAAATCCCAGAATTATAATGAATGCTTCGAGTACCCTTAGCCGCCATCCTCTCCACCCTCCTATGTTTATCTCTTTGCACGCCAAACTGCACATTTTTGTACGAAATCGTTGGTGAAATGAGTCGAGATTAATTACTAAAGCCAGAATATAGTTTCTTGAATATTAATTATGTAAAACAAGTACCCAAAAGCGAGTGCGGTCACGGCCCACGCAACTAAAGACGATGAACCTGCAGCAGCAAGACTGTCGTTTCTCCACACTCGTAGATGATTCCCGCCAGCAATTTTCGACACAATTCCCAAGACGGAAGCGAGCAAGGCAAACACGAGAAAGATCATGGTAGCCCCATTTCCTCCAAAACCTGCAAATTAATGAGAATTCCTTGGGTTTGTAGCACTATAATTAGCTCATAATTCCTCATCAAGTAATAGTTTTGTGGCTCGTTTGATAAGATGTATTGTGCAGTGTATAAAAATAAAAGATAAAAAGTCTAAATCCTTTGTAGAACACTATAAATCTCGTCCGAATAGAGAGAGAGAGAGACTTACTAGGATGATTAGTTTGGCCATTGATATACCTATTCATACACCAACTTGCAAAACCCAACACAATCAAATACATAATCAAGTTCAGAAACAGCAATGGAGCTGCCAAATTCCTTGCTACAGTTCGTGCCATTTTTCTTCCTTTCTTCTCACAAAAACCAAACGCTAAACTTGCACCGACTTATATCAGCTTTATCCAGTATCCTTGTTAAAGAAACTCCCAAGAGAAGTGATATTTATAAATAAATGAGGCAAAGGGATACATTAATGTTCTACGTGGCATGCTAAATGGCCTTGTTGAGTTACAGGTGTAGAGACACTTGTCGAATTTTGCAGTGCTTTGCACATTAAGAAATCTAATCTTCTTTGGATTCTTTTCACTTTTAAGTTACGGTGTATATCCGAAAAATTGCTTTATTTATTTATTTATTCAATTATATAT